CTATCTCAATCTCAATAACGACAAAAAATATATAATAAATAAATAGATAGATAAAATAGCTCAAACAATCAACAGAGAAATGAGATAATCCTTGACAAACAAGCTTATATTTTCGACGAGGAACCATCGTTGCGCTTCTAGACCTTATTTTGTTTTTGTTTTGTTTTCGCTTGATTCGTTTTTTCATTGGTGCTTTCTGCTCTTGATTGATTTTCTGCTTAACCTCGTTGTATTTCAGTTAAATTTGATGCGAGGGAGGCTATGCAATCATGTTATATTGCAACATCAGGACGAGTTTGGTGAGGTAATGCATTTGATGATTATGTTGTATTAATATTGATATTGTTAAGTAGAATGATTAATGCATTTTACCTTTTCATATTTTTGCGATAGACTTTAATGAGTTATCGCTTTTTTATTTTGTTTATCCGTGTATTCAAAAACTATCATTTTTTTATTTTTTTATTAGTTGAAGGTTGTGATAGATATAGAAGTCAAAAATGGAAGTTCGAGGTTTTACTTTTACAAAAACTCTGATTTATATCTACGTTTGATATGAAAAGACACTAATAAGCTGTAATCAAGTATCGCATATAAGTTATTTGATGTACAGCGTGACTATTCTCGTTTTAGTGATTATGTACATTATCAGGAAATTATTTGCAGGTCCTATTTCTATGTCATTTTTGAGTCACTGGTAGACAATTAATTCTGTCTTTCTAACCCACATTCCACCATCTTTGCAAAAATTACCATTTCCCCGGGAGAAAATAGGTTAGGAAAAAATCCAAGTATGCGACATTTTACCCGATTTGCCTCAGGCTATTGTATCAGTTTTGCAAATGTGAGTTAACCAAGATGGAAAACATTCATAAATCATGCCCATGACCCCGACAGCATGCATCATTGATTATGTAATATCCTGGACCACGTGTTAGATGCTTGCCCAAAAATTCTTCAAGCAAACGGGTTTATGCGGCCATCCTGTCTGCTTTTTGGACTAAGTGCTTGTCAATATTTTCCTAACCTTAATGCTAATACGACTAACATTTTTCTTTTTTATTTATCTCTGGTTTCTAATACTTCCTATTATCCCCTTTAGACATGTTTTTATTTTTTATTTTCAGTTTTTTTTTTACAATAAAACTCAAATTATAAGAAACTCATTAACAAATTTATCATCACTATCCATTCTTATTTTATTCTAGATAACACTATTTGAAAATTCATCATAAGTATATATATTAATAAATTTTAGTTTGGTAATATTACTTACTACATCTCACACAATAATTAATATTTTTCCCAAATCTTTTAATCTTGTATATCGCCACTTAAAGTGTTTCTTCCGTTGACATCATTAATATCGCAGAAAGTATTAAAATATGATTTAGCGAGAAGCATCTTGACACGTTAATCAGAACTACAATTACAGATGATGGATAGGCCTATGCTTATTACATTCTCACATTAATATATTATTTTAATGCATCGACATTGAGAGATAAGTAAGTATTCGTTTGTAAGTAAGCTGAAGTATATGATAATTCACTCTCATTCCCAGGATATTTTAAGTTGGAATTCCCACTGGAATCGATCATGAAACGACATTGACAAACAAACAAATATGATTTTCATTCTCATTACAAATGTAAATTAAATTTTCTTAATTTCGAAAAAAAGAAAATAGTTTTGGACCTTTGATTGTGGGCTGAAATCTCTTCCTGAAACAGTAGAGTTGAAACTAGGACCAGTGCCAGGATAAATAGAGCCAATGAACTACCCTGACAGCTTACTTTTGTCATTCCTTTAGTCCATTTCGCTGCTTCGGTACCTCCCTTTCTCCCTCCTTTACTTGTCTCCCTTATTCTTATTTTATTCTATGTACTTCCTTTATTCGTCTCCCTTGTTGTTATTTTATTTTCTGTACTTTATTCCCTCCTTTACTTGTCTCCCTTATTCTTATTTTATTCTATGTACTTCATTCCCCTCCTTCACACGCTCCCTTTAATTTCTACATTTATTCTTCTCTTTCTTTTTCTTGCCTGTTTGCTTATCTCCTTCATTCTCACCCTTTCTTTCGCGCTCACCTTCATACCGCCCTCTTTGCACTTTTGCCCCTTTCTCTTTTGCCTCTTTTATCTTTCTCATTCCCCCTTCCCTCTTTTTCCCCGTTTTCTTCCATGCCTCTCGCCTTTGGGATCAACGCCAAACCTCCAGCCCCACAATACAGCATATACGTCGAATATAAAAAAAATCTCCATACACTATGAGAATTATTAAGACCTAAAGCATAGTTAAACCCCCAGACTCGGTGATATTTCGACCCAGAAGCGCCTTGTCTCGCTAACCAACTCCCTCCATTCGGCACAGTGCCACAGCCTTCGCAAATGTTCACAACATTACCACTGCAGTATAGCGGGAAGCCGTCATGATAAGTTAAACGGTGCCACAGCCCAAAAGAACACTCTAGTTTCGGAAAATAACAGGGACAATATCTGCTATAAGATGTTAGGCTGATATTACCCTTGCAATAACCGGATTCTTGTTGCCGCTTCTAAGTGCCACCTTCAGCAATTTCACCTTTGTAATGGTACTTTTGTATTGCCACTTAGACGCGAGGTTTCCCTATTTCAGAATCTAAACACTTTTACTAGCTCCGTGGGAAGCAGGTGGGATTTTCTAGCTTGCGGAGCACCATCGCAAAGGGCATTAATTACAGCTATAAGAAGGATGCTGCCGTGATTATAACTCTAAGTTCTCAGTCAGGAAGTGGCCATGGTTTTGTTGCAATGACAAGCTGCAATAAACATCTAGAACATCATAGGACTCTCATAGAATGAACTATTTTACAAAACATTTTTATTAACAGAGGTTCCTGGGAAGTTACCACTAAGGTAGGTTTCCAAGGTATGTATTATCACCATATATTATAAGACAAGCTTACAAGCTGTGCAGTGATGTGCCTCCAACATTCGGCGAGGATTTCGCTCGCTTCCTCGGTGTCAGCGCACAGTTCCCGTTTTGGAGTCAGGACTAATTGCTCGTCCGCCGTCAGCCCCTCAGGACCCCGCCTTCAAGCACAGCCATCTTGATCATAAACGTCTGCGGCCTCTGCCAGGTGTTGTCACGAGCATATACTCCTACAGCCTTTCTATCAGACGTGTAAAATCATATTACGAGCAAGATCATACTGCAAGTAACGCCTCACGAGAGAGATGCGAGAGCCGGCTGCTGTTCGGCGCACCGACAGATGTTCAAATGCAGCATATTGATGTGAAGGGTCTCAGGTATCGGGCACGCGTGCAGGTGTCGTGCAGATGGCTACACAGTGACCTCTGGCCCCACCTCGGCCTTATTTGTAATCAATGCGGAACCGCCGCAGCGTGGGGGAAAGTAACCGGAGGAACGGGTATAAATAGGTGTGTAACGAATGAATGAGTGCCTCTAATGGTGTCGATGGCAGTGCAGGTCGGTGGTAATTGATTTTATTCACTTTTAAAGAAAACTTGGTTCTTTTCCGCACGCTCTCGTCTTCTCTCTTAACCATTCACTCCATTTTCGTTATTTCCGTCTCTTCTCCTTTTCCCCTTCCTCTTCGTTCCTCTCCTCATATCCTTCGTCCTTCAGCTCTTCCTCGCTCTCTCTTGCGCTCGCCTCCCCGTCCCTCCCTCTCCCCGCCGCCGCCGCCGCCGCCGCCAATCCGCTGCCGCTTCCCCGTCGCGACCTCTACCTTCCTGAGCTCGTTTCCCTTCTTCCCAGACGAGCAACGGCCAAATAGCAGATTTCATGGGCGACCAAGGGCGTGAGGGCAGCCACACACACGCCTCGGTCGGTGATGGCCCGGGAGTGGCGCGCGGGGATGCAGAGGCGGACCTGTGCAACATTGATCTATTGCAGGAAGATGCAGGGGGTCACCCAATGCAGGTCTGCCGCCGCCGCCGCCACCTACCCCACCGCCGCCCACACCGATGTGCCAATGTACACATCGCCGCCCATTCATGGCGGTTCTGTACATCCAGCACGATCAACGAGAATGAACCTCGTTACTGAACCGCCCCTGAACGCGTCGCCGGCTTGACCATTTTCATTATCGTTATCGCCATTATCCATCGCCATTAACACACCCACAGGTTTAATTCCTGTACAAACTGGTAAATTCGATTGCCAATACAATCGCGCTCTTCGCCACACACACACACCAAAAAAAATCTATTGTATTATCGCAATCAGCACTCGCTAAGGGAGGTGTCTTAACTATTGCATCAACAGTTTCTCTTGAGTTTTACGAGGGGCGGAGGGAAGAATGAAGGGAAAGTGATAAAGGGAAGGAATGAAGAGAGAAGACAAATAGAGAGACAGAGAGAGAGAGAGAAAGGGAAAATGGAATATAGGCCAAGGAAAAGCAAGTGAAACTAAATGATGTGGTAAAAAAGGGAGAAGGAAAATAGAGTGTGAATTTGCATGAAAAGATAACAAGAACGAGGGGTAAGAAGAGAGGAAAAAAGGAAGACAGAAGGTCAGAGCAGTGAGGTAAGAGGTAAAAGGAAGGGAAAAGAAAGGTAGGATGACCGAAATGGTTGAGTAGGAAGGGTCAGTGGAGAGCGAGGGGAAGGCTGGAGAAGGAACGTACAAGTGGATAACATGGGTCGAAAAAAGGCCGTGGAAGGAGAGGGAAGAGGGTGGACGATGGGAATTAAGGGGAAGGACGAGGAGATTAAAAAAATAAAGAAGGCAGAAGAATAAGAGGAAGAGCGAAGGAAGGGAAAAAGAGAAGTGGAGAGGGTGGGAGAGAGAGGAAGAAGGAGGGAGAGAGAGAGAGGAGAGAGAGAGAGAGGAGAGAGAGGGGGGGGGGGAGGGAGGGATAGGAAGAAGGGGATGAGGGAGAGAGGGATCGGCCAAGGAAGGAGAGAGGGCAGGGAGGCGTTCCTCGCATTGACAGTCGGGTTCCACCTGTACAACCTGCGTGTCGGGCTCAATCACGCCACAGAATTTCGGTGTTGCTATGTGTGACTGAAAGGGCGTGAGTGTGAACAAGGCCTTGATTTCGGGTGCCTGTGAGACTGGCCGACTGTACATTTGAGTGGGTGTATGTTTGTGTGTGCGTATGTACGTGGTGGGGGCCGTTAGGTCTGCACCTGCACTAGCACCGCATGCCGGCCGGCCTCAGTGTTGTCCGGTGTGCTGTCCGCCCTCCACCTCCTCCACAACCCGCTCCACCACGTCCACCGCCTCCACCACGGCTCCGCCGCCGGCGCACTCACGTAAGTCACTCTCTGCCCCAGCATCTGCACGCCCCTCCCCTCGCCCATCCCCCTCGTAGGCGCTGCTACGCCCACGCGCCTGCACGCGCCCGCACCGGCCTAAACCCGACCGGAAGAGCCTCCTCGGCCAGCATTCCTGCGGCTCTATCGATTATCTTTGGGTGTTATCCGAAATGCGATATTGCAGTGGATCCTGCCGGAGGAAACAGGATATCTGGCGACTTCCCTCGTGTCCCCAGCGACCTCGGTGCCGCTGCCTGACATAACGGCTAAGGTGACACAACGCGAGCGCCGGCACGAGACTCCATGACGCAACGGCTACTCTCCGCACGGCACTTCGAATCCCGTGACGAGACTGCCGACGGGCGCTGACTTCGGCGATTATTGTGGTGTTTACAATGACGGATGAATTGCGTCCGGTGTCATTTTTCCGCTCTTGAGAGTTGCCATTCCCGCTGCAAAAGAGTGTCATGGCGGAGAACTCTTTTTAATGAGTGAGAGCCGACCGAGTGAGAGTAGACCGAAGGAAAATAAATCCATGAGTTGATTCGTTTTCATTATATTCGATGGAAAGAAACGGGAAAGAAATCCCGAGGGAAATTAAGATGAAAAAATAGAGATATGCAGATACTGAGCTATTGATCCTCAGACTCAATTCAACCCCAATATTGTGAGGTCACTTAGCAGGGTCTCGGTCTCGGTCTCTCTCTCTCTCTCTCTCTCTCTCTCTCTCTCTCTCTCTCTCTCTCTCTCTCTCTCTCTCTCTCTCTCTCTCTCTCTCTCTCTCTCTCTCTCTCTCTCTCTCTCTCTCTCTCTCTCTCTCTCTCTCTCTCTCTCTCTCTCTCTCTCTCTCTCTCTCTCTCTCTCTCTCTCTCTCTCTCTCTCTCTCTCTCTCTCTCGATAGACAGATAGATAAATTGATTAACTGATATATATAGATAGACATAGATACATAGATGAAGAGGGGCATAGATGTAGAGAGAAAGGTAGATGTAGATAGATAGGTAAATATAAATAGTAATATCGATAGATAGGTAGATACAGAGACAGAAAGACAGATAGATATAAAAATAGATAAAAATATATCAAATAGTCCTTTATCCCGGTGTGGTTAATTCACTGATAATCTTCCCGACCCATTTTTTTTCTGGATAATTAGCAACACCTCTACTTCCGGTGCGCCAGAGGTGTTTGCCCGGTCCGTGACTCACCTGTTTCGTGTCAAGTCGTATTTGCATATTCCCTAATTTATGCATTGCTCAAATTTTTCCCATTTGTCTCCGAATTCAATCTGTCTCTACTTTGCGGGTCGTACTTGTTAGTAGATGTTTGTTTTCGTGTGTTGTTGTCGTTGTTTGCGTTGTGGGTGTTGTTTTTGTTATTGATTGTTGTCGTTATGGTTATTATTGTTGTTGTTAGCGTTATTGTTATTGATGTTATTGTTATTATCTTTATTATTGCTATCATTATTATTTCTGTTTTTTATTATATTTATCATTATCATTGCAGTTATCATTATTGTTATTATCATTGTTATTATTATTATCATTATTGTTATTTTCATTATTACTATTATTATCATCAAAATTACCATTATCAATTCTGCGCTTATTATTTTACTTGTTGCTGTTATTACCATCATTATTATCTTAATCATAATCTATGGTTATTTTCATCATTATCTCTTCGCTTCAATTTCCATTATCTCTGCAGTGTTAAAAAAAGCTCAGCTATCTAAATTTTCCTCTTCCTGTACCTACGAACTCTCCCTAATTCGACCTGCCTTGACCTTGTATGACCCACGAATACTCTCATACACTCGGTGAGAATGCCTGCGCGGTGCTACAGCATTGATGAATGGAGGTTTCGGAATCGCAGCCCGCACGCACGCTCCAGGTGGGCGGTGTGGGTTGTTGACCTTAGGCAGGCTTGTTGCAAACAGTTAGACGGCATTTTAGGACCAGCCTCCTGCAGCACGGGGAGGGGGGTCCTTCCGTGGGAGAAGACGTAGCGGTCTTGGGGGAGAGGGGGGGGGGGGGAGGCGCTGAGGGAATATCACCTGCGGGAAATATGGGACAGGTAAGGGACACCGCGCAGGTAATGAGGGGAATGGGCCTTTCCGCGACCCACGTGTGAGGCATACCGCCGTGACCTACGACCCGCGAGAGAGGAATGACCCACGGAGAATGAGTAACATAATTTTATATTCAATGAGGAAAAGGAAAAAGGTTGGTCT